AGGGTTAGGCATGCATGCCTAGATGCGGAATAGTGCATTGATGTGGTTTATCACATCGTGATAATCGGCCTCGGTAATCTCCTCTAATGTCTCATCCAGAACATGTGCAATGCGCTTGCGCAGGTTTATCGGAAGAGCCACCGTGGTCCTTGTCCCAGCCAGACTAACATGTCCGCGCCACTGTACCGCGAGGGGCAGGGGGACCATTGCTGCACACAGGCAAGCTGCATATGGGCCAGGGCAGAAGCCGCATTGCAGTAGAAGACCCTCCCTTGCTTCCCAGATCACCCTCAGCAGCGAGCTATCGTCCAGGACGAACTCCTGTGGAAAATGTTGGGACAGTGTTCAGTGTAGGTGCCCCCTGAGGCTGTTGGCTCTCCCCAAGGCACAGAAACTCAGAGGACAGTGCAGCCCTGAAACAATCAGTCCCCCTTACTCACCATTTTGAGGCTCCCGTGGGATGTGTGCGCTCTGTTTTGGACGGGACCCTATGTGTTTTCTACTCCTTAAGTGCGGGGGGAATCATTACTCTGTCTGGTATAAAGAATGCTGCCTCTGTTAAATGTTGCATTTTGCCTATACAGCTGCATCAACCTTGAGACCTCAGCCGTCCCTCTTATCACCTGCTCAGAGACTGCAAAGACTCAAGAAGAGACCGCGAAAAAGCAGAGAAGACGTTGCAAGAAGTGATGTGGCAATCTATTAAAGAGAATGAGAAAGCACAGAACTGGAGGGAGAGTGCAAAGCAGGATCCACCAGGAAAACGCAGCAAAGCACCGTGCACCGGCAGCAAAGCACTGAGAGGCTCATAAGCATCCTGGAGTGCCAAGCAGATGCTATCCAGGAGCTGGTAGCCATGCAGAAAGAGGAGCAGTAACGCAAACGCCACCCCGCCCTACAGCCCTTGTCCCAAAACTCTTTCCGTTGTGCCCCACTGTCACCTCCAACCCACTTTCCCCAACTTCCGTGTTCTTCACGCCATCCGCTGCCTCCAACACCAGTATCTTCACCACCCAGCCCTGAAAACCACGACCCTTACCCTCTGCACTCAACTCATCACCATGCAGTATAGCTGTCCTGAAGTACAGCACTCACTGCACAGCATACCAGACAGGACATACGCGAATCTGTGATTGTACCGTTCCCCATTCCACCCCCTTGTTTCTTTTCAATAAATGAATTCTTTGGCTTTGAAAACATTCTTTATTATTGCATAAAGTAAAAGACTCCTTAGCCCAGGAAATAAACAGGCACTGCAAGTCTGCTTGTCTGCTTAGCAGACACTGATTCCTAAAGATTGGAGCCACTGCACTTCGCTCCCGTGCAGGGCACCAGATATCACTGCTGGTTTTCAGCCTCAAATTGCTCCCTCAAAGCATCCCTAATCCTTGCAGCCCCGCGCTGGGCCCCTGTAATAGCCCTGCCCTCTGGCTGTGCAAATTCAGCCTCCAGGTGTTGAACCTCGAGGTCCATGCTTGAGTGAAGCTTTCACCCTTCCCTTCACAAATATTATGGAGGGCACAGCACGCGGCTATAACCGCAGGGATGCTGTTTTTGGCCAAGTCCAGCTTCCCATACAGAGATCGCCAGCGGCCCTTTAAACGGCCAAAGGCACACTCCACAGTCATTCGGCACCGGCTCAACCTGTAGTTGAACTGTTCCTTGCTGCTGTCAAGGCTCCCTGTGTAGGGTTTCATGAGCCACGGCATTAACGGGTAAGCGGGATCTCCAAGGATCACAATGGGCATTTCAACTTCCCCTACCGTGATCTTCTGCTCTGGGAAAAAAGTCCCAGACTGCATCTTCCTGAACAGCCAAGTGTTCCGAAAGAGGCGTGTGTCATGCACCTTTCCGGGCCAGCCTGTGTTAATGTCAATGAAACGCCCGCGGTGATCCACAAGCGCCTGGAGAACCATAGAGAAATACCCCTTCGATTAACGTACTCGGATCCTAGGTGGGGTGGTGCTAGAATAGGAATGTGTGTTCCATCTATCGCCCCTCCACAGTTAGGGAACCCCATTTGTGCAAAGCCATCCACTATTTCCTGCACGTTACCCAGAGTCACGGTTCTTCTGAGTAGGATGCGACTAATGGCCTTGCAAACTTGCATCAACACGATTCCAACGGTCGACTTTCCCACTCCAAACTGGTTTGCGACCGACCAGTAGCTGTCTGGAGTTGCCAGCTTCCAGATTGCAATAGCCACCCGCTTCTCCACTGGCAGGGCAGCTCTCAATCTCGTGTCCTTGTGCCGCAGGGTGGGGGCAAGCTCCTCACACAGTCCCATGAAAGTGGCTTTTCTCATCCGAAAGTTCTGCAGCCACTACTCGTCATCCCAGACTTCCATGACGATGTGATCCCACCACTTGGTGCTTGTTTCCTGAGCCCAAAAGCGGCATTCCATGGTGCTGAGCATGTCCGTGAATGCCACAAGCAATTTCGTGTCGTACTCCTC